TAATCACACCTCTCCGCTATCGCTCAGGCTCGATGTACGTGTACCGTGTAGTGCAAAAGTTTCAAGCACTGTAAATTTCATGGATATGCAATTTTTTGAAGATTAGTGAAAATTACTTTTGCAAAAATCAAATTATTTGGGCACAAGATGGCAGATGGTATAAATTCATCAAAATTAAATCCACTCAATAGATTTTAAGGCAAATTTGCAAAATTTACAACCCTCAAAAATTTTGCGCTGTACAGTATAAAGTACACAAGAAACCAAAATAACTTTTTATTTTTCAATTTCAGTTCAAGTCATGACACTATTACTTTTAGCATCAGTGAATGATAATTAAAATGTATCATTGTTTGTTAGAAAAATAATGCTGTATACACAGTATACTGATGTACAGTGTATTACAATAAGTTTGTGTGTGAGTGTGTTATTGGTTCTTTATTATGATTTAGCATCCCACCTCCATACAGTTCCATTATCACACACACCAATGATAGTCCTACACAGTAAAAACAATAATAATAATGATATATGAAGTTTCCATGAATAATACAACCAGAATACTTTATATTAAATATATGAATGTTCTATAACTTTTTGCCAGTCTATAAATCCTAATTTCTTGTTCAAAATATTATTTGCCGTGGAAGAAAAAATTTTGTGAACAAAAATTTTATCCAACAACATGTCTAGAAAAATTTACAAAACTTTTGACTAATGAAAATTTACTATTTAGTCTATGATGCACAGTCTATAGTAACCAGTGTGTGTGTGTGTGTGTGTGTGTTGGTTTACTTGCTGTCGTTGCTGAAGGTGACTTGTCTCACTGCAGTGAAGCATTTAGCTGAAGAGAGTATCACTGATGGACGTCCCTTGATGACATCATTCTGTGTGGTGTCCCATATGTATATCTTACCAACCTGATTACCAAGGGCTAGGTACTAAACAGAAAGAAGAATATTTTGGTAATTATGTGATAATTGTTTCATTAGGAACATAATTTTAGCAAAAATTAGAGCATCAAAACAGAGTTATTAATTTACTTAGTCTGATTCTATGATTGATTTATGAAGAATCAAAATTGACGGGGCCCACGTACAGGTAGACACTTCCAACTTAAAATGCTGCCCATTCTTCCTTCCTATAACAATGTCACGGTTCTCCATACGCTGGTGATTCCTAGTCAGGCGGAGCCTGACTAGGTGATTCCATCATTCTAACCATCAAGGAAACTGCCA